GCCAACATTAATACTTTAACCTCCCAATAACCAGAAATCCTTTGCTCCCTCTCCCATGTGTGGGTGAGAGAGAATGCTGGAAACAGATACAAAAAAAGGGCGGAATTAATAACCTATAGACCATGTAGCGGACTGCATTCCATCCCATCCTGTCTAGATGAAACAACTGAGGCCTGGAGAGGGGAAGTAACATGTCTCAGGCCACAGAGCCTGTGGGTGGTGGAGCCGGTCTGAGGACCGGGATCTTCCCACTCCAAGTGCAGTGTTCCCTCACTCTCATCTCCTTTGGAGCCCGAACTCTATGCCAGGTGCTGAAGTGTTAGCCACAGATGCCAAAGCCCTGGCATAAGCACTGCTCGCATCAGTCAGCTAGCAAAGTCAACCAGAGCCATCTTTCCCTGAGCACTTGCTATGTGCTAGAGTCAAAGCTGAAGGCTGTGCATGGGTTACTTTCATTTATCCTCACAACAATGTAGAGAAGTAGGTTCTCTTGTTTATTTTATTGGTGAAGAACCTGAGACCCAGGGAGGTTAAGTGACTCATCCACAGTCTCACAGCCCCTTAACCCCTTCACTCAACTGCCACCTCCTATGCTCAGCTCTGGGTCAGGAGTGGTAGGGAACTTAAGACCAGAAACATGGTCCCGACACTTGAGAACCTTATGATCTATGTCAAGATGGGGGTCGGGGGCAAGCTAATACTTACTGAGTGCCCAGGGCATGACATAGACCTTACTGGCCCTTTATCAACCGCAGCAGTATTACCTAAACCTCAGGGCACTTCCAAGCTCTAGGATGCTCTGGCTTGTACTCTATGTGCTTGAAAACAGGGCAAGAGGACAGATACACCACTAATATAGATATGGATCAATCAATCGATGGTGCTGGATCTGAGGGTGGATGGGGATGGAGTGACCAGCAGAGGCCTGACAGAAACACTTGGATATATGACAGGTCCATTAACAATCTTTTTTATCAACACTTCAGGTCTCCACAATAGCTAGCTTGGCATGGTAGAAAACTGAAGGACGCTAACCCTTCTAAGCTTCAGAAGTAGATTTGAGAATGATTCTCTCTGCAAGATTGGTGTAAAGGTTAAATCTGAACATTGAGGCAAAGTCCCAGGGTAGTGCTACTTCTTAGAAATGTGGGCCATATGGGCAAGTAATTCAAACTCTTGAGTTGTAGTTTCCTCTACTATAAAATGGGAGTATTGAGGCAGGGAGCTGACTGTAGTAGAGAAAAGCACAGACTCCAGAGTCAGATTACTCAAATTTGAATTCTGGTTCTGTCACAAAGTAGTTGTACGATGTTGGGCGAGTTCTTAACCTCTGAGATGAAGTTTCACATTGATCAAACAGTAATAGTCATAGCACCTATCCCACAGGGCTGGTAGGAGTATCAAATGAGTTCTACATAAAGCGCTCAGAACAGCATCTGCCAGTCAATGGGTTTGCTACTGTTATTACCTTGAAGTGTTATTGAGGATCCAAAGCACTCAATTAAAGTGCAGCAGTCTGCACAAAGTAGATGCTCAATAACCTTGCAGACATCTGTTGTTTTCAAGTTTGGCATCACTTCCCCCATCTTCCAATAACAGAGTTATTCTTTCTTTGGGAAAATCCATACTCTCATCCCCAAACAAGTGGGATGAACCCACGACCCAAACTTGATCAGTCAGAGGACACCACCTCATTGGCAACAGCGATGTGCTCCGACATTGATGTGTGACCAAGCTAAGCAATCTACCATTGGTTCTTTCTTGCAGGACTGTTGACTCTACCCGGAGTGCCAGTTTAGTGCCCCCGAGTCTTCTGCTTTTGCCCACCATCATGGGCACTGTTACACACAATGGAGGGAGGGAGATGAAGTCCCAATGACATCACCAAGCCCCTGGATCCAGTTGTTCCTAAAGCCATCCATAACTATTTCTAGTCTTCCCAGGCATATAAACTAATATATTTCCTCTTTGGATTAAACTAACGTTAGTCACATTTCTGTCACTCACTGGTTAGTAATGTTATTATAATAGCAGGTTTTCAATAAATATTATTTCCCTTTCCCATCACTCCTGAAAACATCTTATTACATGTCCATAGCCTTTCCAAAAGGTATTCTTTGGATAAACACTGAGTATTAGGCAGTTTTTGTCTACAGATCTAGTAAGAAAGGAAAAGGCGTGTCCAGAATTGCTACTTATCCCACATGGCATACTACGGAGTAGACAGCCACAGAGTACCCACATTTAGCATTCCCTGGAAAATAGCTCACTGTGTCTATTGAGATGCAATGCTCTTTTAAAACAGAGCTAGTGGCATATGTATACACACTCATGATTGCACATTTATTGATTTCTAATTTGTACCCTGCTTACTTCCAAAAAGGCCCTGGAGTGGCCAACAAAATAAGACAAAGACGCAATAGGGCCATTAAGAAAAATCAAAGATCAAGCCCAGAGAGAAAAAAGGGATTGCTGATTATAGCTGAAACCTGGGTTAATATAGTTGCTTCAATAAAAAAAAAAAATTATATTTAGCTCTCAGCGTTTTGGCAGCCATTCAGAATGTGTCATGATAAGGCACACAGAGAAGTGGGCATCCTTCATGTCTGCAGCTGAAAACCCAGCAGAAGCCAGGCACAGTGGAAGAGCTTACTGAATGAATGAATGAGTGAATGAATGAATGAATGAATGGGGGTAAAAGAACCAGAGCCTAAGGGTACTGTTGATATACCTAGGCCTATATCCTTCACTTCTTCATCGGCCCGTTCACTGAGAGCTGATGTGGTGCCGGCCTCTGTGCCTGGCTAGGGCCTGGAAGGGGACGGCCACCAAAGGGAGTCGAATGTCTTCCCTGCCTTCCCAGCTGCAGCTCTTCTGGCTTGAAGTAAAAGCTCAGGGTCGTCCACCTCAGTGCTCACAGCAACTCCCAGTGCCTTCATGCATCCCGGAGGAAGAGATCAGAGAGTGAGGCTGAGCGGATGGGAAGTGTAGGAGTAGTCATAGTTACCTTGGTGAGGACGCTCACACCACACTGTAAACCCTAGAAAACACACGCACACTGTGATCTCGTCCGATACTCACAACTCCTCAGTGAGGAAGATGAAAGGGAGGAGGGGTGTCTGCCTTTTACTGATGAGGATATTCAGGCACAGAAGGGAAAGTGAGTCCCCCAACCTCTCTCAGTTACAAAGTGACAGGATAGCACCCTGAGGTTTCCCATGTCCCGGGCTGTTTGCCCAGGCCTGGCCCCCAGCATCTCGCTGCCTGAAATTCCTCCTCTGCTTGGGTTAAGAGCAGCCTTGATCAAAATGGGCATCACTCTGATAGCTGTGGGGAATGGCTGGGAGGCCACGTTCCGTGAGCAAGAACCGGCCCGCCCGATGTCCTGCAACAAGTAGAACAGTCAGACCCCACCTGCTCGAAGCCTTCCAGCAGCCCCAGCCCCACAGATACCTTCTGTGTGCCTAGAAAGTGATGCTGAGATTCCCAATGAAGAGCAGATAGCCAGCATTATTTAGGAGCAGCTTGAAAAGGCACAATGTAGTGCTGGGTGGAGAGACAGCTAGTAAGTAAACACAGAGGGAAAGAATTACACAGGAAGAGGAAATTAAAAACCAGGTTGTTTCCCCTCATGCCCATTTCGTCTTGCTTATCCAGCTCAGCTAGACACCCAGGCTGCCGAATGTCACTTTATCCACCCTCACGCTCATCAAAGTGGATTCAGAGAGGAAGGGTGGAAAGGGGGGCATATTCTTGTCCACGTTTAACAAAGTCAGCCAGGTGGACTGAGCCAGAGAAATGCAGTACACAGCACGAGCAGACCTTGACAAGGTTCGGGTGTGTCCTAGAGAAGGCGAGCCACGCCACTGTACCACTTAAACAGCAGCCAACCCTTGCTGTTCTTGTTCCAATAAAGTACCCCTTAAAATACACTTATGTATATGGTCTCTTTGTGTGTACCCACACATATAGATATAGATACAGATTTCCAATTCAGAACTCGTTCTTACGTGCACTCACTGACATGTGTTTCGTATTTCCCAGTGTTTCTTGGAGCCTACACGCATTGTTCGAGTGCATACATAGGTATTAAACACAGCCACCGAGAATGCGAATGGTGGCCACAAGTTTGGAACCTCCCCAGTAATGTTAGAGTCTTCCCAGCCAGGCTGTAAATCTCACCGCTTGACTAATAAGCAGCCAGACACTGTCACTCCATTCAGAAAACCAAGGCTCGGGCCAACCCAGTTCACCCCATGAACTACAAGAGTCATTGCCAGTATGACTTGTAGGTTCAGAATCATGGAGCCACTCACCACCAGTTAATTAGCACTTGGCTAACACCCACAATATGCAAACCACAATCTCCATTCTGACATGCATCTCTAGCTCCTAAACCTCCACACTCTCCCACTGAATAAATGCACAGAAGCATCTCCAAGCTTCCCCCTGCATTATAACCTGGACCATTAAATAAATTCAAGGTGTTTCTTCCTTTTCCCACAAAACCATAGCTCTCCAGACCCAGGATTCCAAGACTGGCAGCGGTAGGAAGCAGGCGAAGGGCAGGACGTGTACTAGTCTGCAGGGTGGTGAGGTTGAAATGATCAGTCCAACCCAGTGCCTTCTGACACCACTGATGTCTCCTGTAAATAAATGCATCTCAAATCCCATCCTCAGGGCATTTCCCTGAGGTAAGGTCAGACCCATGTTAAATGGCAGCATGTCCTTCCTTGCAAAGAAAAGATCTACTACCACAAGTCACTAGCTCTCAGTGGCCACTTAAGTCACTGATCTCTGAAGAAAGGGAGCAAAAAGTTGGGTGTGGAGGGGCGTGTAAGGGCACGCCATGTTGAAGACCAACTCCAAGGCCCCGCGCATATGGGCTAACTGCCAAGCTCTGCATGGCACCAGGCTCCACTCACGAAGGCAATCACAATATCCATATCACCAAAGCCAGGCAGGACGCCCGGTAGAAAACACAATTCAATTCTACTCACAGTCTGGTGAGCTTCGGTGTACTCTGGAAAAGCAGTTCTGGGAGGACCTGGAGCTTATTCTTGTTCAGGCGCCTACAGATGAAGAGAAGAATGAAAGGATGTCAAGGGACATTAAATTGGATCAAGTGTATTCACAGACACCAATCAATTAATCAATCAATCAAGAGGTATAAAGAGAACTTCTAGATCTTTCAACGTGGGATGCACATCATGTTAAGGCATATTCTGTCTTGAAAAGCTTGCAGTCAAGTTGATGATAAAAGGCAAAGGTCAGTCACAGGCAAGAACATAGCATGCGTGCTGCCATTCCCCCATCATGAGCCTAGGACAGACATCACTCATAGATCACACGTTCTTTCCCACAGATCCCACACAAGGCTTTCGAAACTTTCTGGCCAAGTGCTCCAGGTAGCTATTGCCAAGTGATGAAACTGATAAGCAAAATGGGTCCCTAAAAAGAAACAAAATACCAGAGAGAATATTCTATCCTAGATAATGGTGGCGGTGTGGTGGGGAAATAGCAGTTACTATGGAAGTAGAAGAGGCCACAGGTTGAGGGGCCAAATGGAATCCCTACCAGCCTGGCTCTTTGGCCCAGAGCAGGGCTGCATTATAATTTTCATGGGCCCGTGGCACTTCTGCCTTTGCGTGTCCCTATCTCTATAAAAAATTAATATCATATTTTATAACTATGTTGGTATAAAATATATTAATATTATATATAATAACATTTACTTTGACCTGAAAGGGTTTTTTTTTTTCCTTATAATTTTAAAAGAAATGAAAGCATTTTCATGGGACTCTAAAAGTATTGTTGGTCTTGGACACTGTCCCCACCGTGCCTAATGGAGCAGTCGGCTCTGGGTCAAAGATCACAGTCTGGCCATGCCGTGTGGCTGGAGGTAAACTCGGCCAGGAGGGAGGCCCCATGTTGGATGGCAGCAATAGAGCCAGTTAGACAGTCTCCTGAGAACGGTGAACACTAATGCCAATAGTAAAGAAGGCCATGTGTGTTTCCAAAGGACACAGGACCCTTGTTGTGGCTTCCAAGAAGGCTGCTCTCCTGGGAGTGGGAGCCCAAGAGGGAGACCCTGTTCCCTGCCTGCATGTCTCCCTCTCCTAGTATTTTCATGTAGCCTCATCGGTGAGTGTCCAAGCCAGTGTCTCCAAATCTGTCCCCAGAATGTCTTGGAGCCAAAGAACAGTTTATAGCCTGGCTGAATTTCTTCCTTAGAGTGAACTGCCTGTTTGGTTACCTGGGACAACCATTATTATCTTATCTGAGAGTTAAGCAAACTGAAGAAAAAAGGTGAGCTTCTTCTTTGCATCTCCTCCCAAAGCCCACGCTTTCCCCATCACATCAAGCAGACATGGTTCCCTGGGTGGGATTTTGGTATTTTCCCCCTTTCATCCCAGGTTGATGGCCAAACACTTGAGAGGGACAGGGATCTAGAAGGAGGTTAAAAAGGGCAAAGCATGTAAGAGAAGAGCTTTTAAGACCACAGAATAAGCCTCCTGTCACAGTGCGCTGCTCAGCTCTGAGGGGCTCACGGTGTGTGTGGGCAGGTATGGACCAGTGATGCTGTTCAGGAGCCCCCTGACTCAAGGAGGCCAGACGAGAGGTTGGGAAGTTGGACGGGATAAGCTCAAATTCCCTGCCTCACCCCAACGGCAGCCTGACTCCCACACCAGTGCTCTTTTTGAAATTTTTTGTTTATTGTGGTAAAAAAAGGTTTTTTTTTCCACCTTAACCATTTTCATGTGTACAGTTCAGTAGTGTTAAGTATACTCACATTGTTGTGCAGATCTCTGGATCTTTTTCATCTTGCAGAACTGAAACACTATCCCCATCAAACAACACCCCCCCACCTGCCCTGCCCTGTCCCTGATAGCCACCACCATACTTTGTTTCCCTGAGTTTGACCAGTGTTCTTTTGATCACACCCAGTATCTATTCTTTGTGTTCCTGTCACTAAAATGGAGAGATGGAGGGAGCCAGGGGGAGGGTGAGGAGTAATCTAGTTGCTTGTTTAGTTCGGTTCCCATACAGTCAGCAATAGGTCCCTTTATGTCATGTGGGAGCACTGATCCCGGGGGAGGTGTGGTATGGTTTTGGGGCTGGTCAAGGCTGGGTTCAGGTCTAACTATATCTTGATCTCTTTGTGGGGCCCTAGGGCCATTACCTAGCCTGCTGAGCCTCAGTGTTCCATGTGGAAAATAACCCTACTTGTTGGGTTATAGTAATTCCTAATGACACAGTATATGCCAAAGTGTCTAGCACTGCAGTAAGAGCGTGGTGATAATACTACAGACGATGCTTGTCGAGTCCTAACTGCATGTCGGACGCAGGCTGCATGCTGGACGGGCGGGATTGTAGGCAGAAGAGCCCAGAGGCAGGCGCCATTATGACCCACATCTCACAGCCGAGGACGCTGGTGTCTGGAGGGGTTGGGCACATTCCACAAGGCCACAGCATGAGGAAGGGGCAGGGACAGCATCTGGACCCAGGCAGTCTGCCTCCAGAGCCCTGGTTCTGAACCACAAACCACTCGAAGCCTTGCAGTAACTGACGGCTCCCTTCCTCTTTCCCTTTCTTCTCCCTTTTTTCCCCTTTGCTTCCTTTCTTCCACAGTTGCCGCCCCCTCTGCACTAACCCAGACAACCGTCCACCCTGAATCCGCCTCCCTGCCTGAACAGGACTCTCTTGGAGGTCCCTAAGGCCAGAACTGGTCTCTCAGTGGGTCTGTCTGGAACCACCCTCTATTGTCACAGCTGCGCAAAGCCCAGTGAGAGTGCCATTCAGATGCCCAATGCTCCAGTCTAGGCAAAAATCCGAAAATCTGGCCTGCTGCGGCCTGCAGCGGGTAGGGTGTTCAGTGCGCTAAAAGCCCCAAAGCAGAATTGAAGCTAAAAATAAAACCAGCTTGGCTCCAAGGCTCCAGGAAGGGAAGGAATCATTTTTCAGTATTTGTGGCTGGACAAAAATAAAAACACAACCAAACTGAGCCAATTGTGCTCTGCCTGCCTGATGAGCCTTCCAGGGCAGCTGGGCCGGGCTCTTCTCCCAGAGCCTCCGGGTTTTTCCGCTTTAGCGTGGGTGGGCCTCGTGCTGGTTCTCCCTATCACAAGGAGTTCGATGCTCTGTTTCATTCCCAGCTCATCCCAGGATTTATTCACATTTACTTAGGTAACCAAGCCGGCTGAAAGGTCTTCCTTGAAGAGCTGATGAAGGCTCCAAGCTGCATAAGGTGCATTGCCCATGCGGATGCTGTAGAGCAGCTCCTGAACAGGAAAATGAACAGTATGACATGTGTCACTGTCCTGGTAGAGGGGCAGGGAAGCACTGGGCTGCAGACGGGAGTACTGGCCATGAGGCCCTCGATCACTCATGCTGTCCTCTGCTCTGTCACCCTGGGCCCAGCGGTGGAAATCTCCTGTTGTGGTTCAGGCTGAAAATAGATCCATGATGCCTGGATGGAAAAAAGGACTGAATGGGACCCATATGAGGGCAGACCCAAGGAGGTTGACAAACAGGCCATAGGCCAGGTCAGTGATAAGATAAAGTCCACCTGGCTGTCCCCCTCCCTTTGAGATCAGTACTCTTTTTTAGCTTTCCTGTTGGAACACTGGGCAGCATCAAGGTCAAAAACCCACTGGCTGTGAGTTGCAAGGTCATACTGCTTTTCAGCCTGAACTATGAAGCTTTACAGTACTGCTGATCACCCTCCTGGAGGCAGCTGTGTGTAAAATCTGATTAGAGGTTTTGCCACTTTTTTTTTTGTTGAATTTGTCCATTTATCTATCTTTTCAATCATCCATCCATCCATCCATCCAGCTTTCCACCCAACCACCATCCATCCGCCTCTCTAGTCCTTTTTCAATATGAACATACAAAAATGAATAAGAATATTCCTTTCCAAATATCAGATGGTAGTGGAGAAGATAGACATGAAAACAAAGGTATCATAGGAGAACAGAGTGAGGCCAGTGAACCCAGACTTGGTAAAGGAAGGCTTCCCAAAGGAAGTGGTTGGAATTTAGTTTTGAAGCATGAGTACAACTTTTCAGGGGACAGGAACAGAGGGCTCTAGACTTGTGTATGGCCATGGAGGGCCATGAGACCCAGGAGCACTTGGGGAGCAGGCTGCATTGCTGAATTGTGGGGATGACATGAGAAAAAAGGGATGAAGCAACAGAACTAGGCAGGGGTCCTATAGCAAGGACCCTCGTGGGTCATGATAAAGGATCTGGGCTCGGGTGTTTCCTGAGAGTAATGGGAAGCCACAGGAGGGGTGTGAGCAAGGGAATGATCATCTGGTTTAGATTTTAGAAAGTCCTCTTGAGTAGCAATAAACCTGGTTTGGCAGAGAGTGAAAAAGGAAGCAAGGAAACTAGTTAAGAGGGCTCTTATGTGATCCACCTGGCTGTGTGAGGACCTGGTTTAAGGATGAGAATGGTATTGGGGTGTAGGAGATACATGGGAGGCATCATCGACAGAGTCAGAGGGAGTTACAGGAGTGGGGGTGTTAAAACTGTCCCCCGGGGCTCCTGTTAACTGAGTAACTGATCAGTTGAGATTACCAATCACTGCTGAAAGGAACAGAGAAGGGAGACCAGCACACAGAATGTGGCATGTTTAGATTCCAGATTTCTATACTACTGGGGTCTCTCAAATATGTTCTGACAACTAATATCAGTAGCTAGTAATAACAGTGAGGCCATGACTCAGGCGCTGTACCAAGCACTTTACCTGCACTGTCCCATTTAATTTCCACAGAAACACGTTGAGGCTAGTACTCTCAGTAGCTGTAATAAGGGAACAGAAGACTAAAGAGGTTAAAGCACTTGCCCAAAGTCAAACTTGATCAAAATGATGGTGATGGGATTTGAACCCAGACACTTGATGCTAAATCTGTGCTCTTAGCTACCATGGATAACGACAATATTTAATTAGCTCTTCATTACACGCTGTCTCAACTTATCACCTAATGTGTGAGTCTCATCTTCCCATTAAGTTCTGTAGGTCCTCAAGAGTAGAAAACGCGTCTAATATCTTCCTGCTGTCCAACCTC